GTTTAATTATTACTAAAAATTCAATAGATAGATGCATCTTAACAAACACTCAAATTGAAAATTAAAAAAATTATTTCCCATTATTTTTTAATAATTTTTATTATTTTATTATGTATAAAATAAAACATTTAAAATGGTTTTATTAAATATTATCTCAAATAAAGAAATACACCCCAAAAGTTGAACATTGGCATTATCAATGAATCAAGAATACTGTGCCAAGAAGACATGACAAATGTCAAAAATATTTGTTTATGTTGTCCCATTTTATTTCAAAATAAATTAGGGTTTTTAATATTTTATCTGTATTTGTATTATATTATAAAGCATTTGACAAACACTTTTAAAAACCATTTTTTATGTATGAAGTATTGTTTATTGATACATATTACTTAAAATTTATGATTACAAGTAAATTGTGCGTAAGCACTACTTATTAAGCTTCATGTTTGAATTCGTGTAACTAACTGTGTATAAATATAATCAAATACAAGATAAAATTCTTATTTTAAATATAAAATCTAAAATATAATTAGGATAATTTTTTGAATTTTAACAGAATATTTAGTTATTATCTTCATAAAAGTTATATTATTAAACCAAAAATTAAACATAAATTAAATTAAAGAAATTACACAAAAAATTAGAACTTTTATTTTTATATTAATTTTTATGATATCTTCAAATTTATATTTTATTAAGAAAAACATTATTGTTTGCTCAAAACCATATAAAGTCATATTATAACATCGACAAAGACCAAAAAAATAAAAAAGGTTTTAAAGAGTTTTTGTCAAATGCTTTATAATATAGTATAGATAATTGTTGTGAATATGCAACTATTTTATCGGGTGTACATCATACATAAAATGACATTATTTTGATGTTTTTTCCCAAAAAGAATGTAACCCTATATTTATCTACCGCCATCTTATGTTATGAGACTTTACCGTTACAACTTTAGCAACTCTGTAGTTCCCCTACAACAAAATTTGTCTGCTATGACGATCATAACAGTTATAATAAAATATTTCGTAAGACTTTTTTTTTATTAATCTGAACATCAAACCCACTATGCAAGCCGACTAATTCCAGGGCGACAAAGGAATTTTTATTCTTTCTTGGATTCGAACCTGGTACCTCCAGACACTTTTAACCTTTGAAGTCCAAACTCAAACCAATCGGGCACCACCCTTGTGGTTAAGACTTTTAACTTTATAAAATCAACAATCGTACATCTTATACAGATGCGTTACTGTAATTATTAAGATATCGTTCCACGACCTAATAAGACTAAAAAAAAAATGATATTACCAACATTTTATAGCGACTTCTTTCCCTTTTGGAATTTATGTTCATTTTTCTTATAACGAAAACTATAATATTCTTGTTTTAGGATCAGAATCAAATTGTAGCCGACTGTTAAATTTAGAGTAAAATACAAAATCCGTCCACGTCGTTTATTAAATCTTTCGGGTTTTATCCCTCGTCTTTGATTATTACAAACATGCTTTTGTGGTTTGTTCGTTTTGGTTTCGTCTTTACGCATATGTCTGTAATCTTCGTAACCTTAAGTGCTCCAGGTGCCCTTTAAGATGCGTTTTTTTCCCCATGTAATTAAAGAAATCGAGAGACGATAACCAAAGTTTTGATAAACCGCTGGGACGAAAAACGTTCAATTATTTGAGACAAATCTAACAACCAATTTGGGTTTTGTTATTGTATTTTGTCTATACAGTGTGGTAGTTAACGCGTTTAGTATCACGTCATAATCATTATGTAGGAGAGATGGCCGAGCGGTTGAAGGCGTAGCAGTGGATCTGTTTTGACATGAAATGGATATATCCATAATTTCAATTTCTTTTATCAGAGAACTCCATTAAAAATTGGGTATTTTTTCTTATTAAAAATCGAGCAGGTTACCGTGCATCCAATCCATTGATTTTCGCGAGTAGATTTTTTTTGGGCTATGAAAGTGTACCTACTAAACTTTGAGGGGTGCTTCGAGATATTAAAAATTACAAGGAATATCAACCTAAAAACCGCAAAAATGCCTCGAAATCAACCAGAAACCCAAAAAAGTCTATTAAAATGAACCAAAAAATCAAAAAGTCCATTGAAATCAATCAAAAAACTTAGAAAATCTCTTGAAACGGTGGAATTCAACTAAAAACACATTGGACAACTTTATGAGATTTTTTTTATATAATGTCATTAAACATTTTAGACAATTTAATAGTTTTATTAAGAGACAATTTCTGGATCGTTAAAAGGAGAACCTTGTTTGGCAAAAAAAATGTCTCTCAATGGTTCTAAAATCCTCTGAATGTTTTTGTATCATGAGTCTCGCTTAACCATTCATCGCCCTAATTTCATTGTAAACAATTACCAAACAATTATATTTCATTTTGCACAATATCATGAAAACCTTTTAATCATTACTAGGAGCGTACTCGCGCAATGCAACGAGATACATCG